CAGTGTTCAGTATGAATTGCAATTCACTGTAAAGAAAACCAAAATCATCACAACTGGACCACAAGTAACATGATGGATGGAGAAAGGATTGAAGTTATTAAGGATTTCATCTTGCTTGGATCCACAGTCAATCTTCACGGAAGCAGCAGTCAAGAACTCAAATGCCATATTGCATTAGAGAAGTCTGCTACACAAGACCATTTTGAAGTGTTAAAGAGCACAGATGTTGCTTTGAGGACCAATATGCACTTGACTTAAGCCACGGTGTTTTCAGTTGCCTTGTGTGCATGGGAAAGTTGAACATTGAATAAAGAAGCTGAAGAAGAATTGATGCATTTGAATTACGGTGCTTGAGAAGAATATTGAAAGTACCACGTACTGCCAGAAGAACAAACAAATCTGTCTTGAATGGTTCTTGGTATCAAGAGACTTTATCTTCTGTACTGTGCACATAATGTCAGTGGAGACCAGTCCCTGGAGAAAGACATCACATGGCGCCAGGGGGCAGGGTCGTGCCGGTTCTTCCATGTGGGTGCCAGCACGGTGGGCCGCAGCACGGGGTCACCATGGCGGAGCTGTAGCAGCTCCGCCTGCAGGAGGCAGTGGACTCCATGGTGAAGAGTCTGGAGGGAGAACATCCGGAAGATGGGGGGTGCCATGTTCCGTGCGCGCCAGCTGCTGTGAGGACAGCCTGGCCTCCATGCAGCAAGTGCCCTAGTGCATTGAGTGCTGCCACACACCGCTGGCGCAAGCCAGGCCCTGGTGACCAGCGAACTGGAGAGGTTCCAGGACCGCCTGGCCCGGTGTACCATGCACTGCAGTGACAAAGCCAGACTCAATGGCTGCCGGGAGTAAGGGGCTGCAGGTGAAGCAGCAGCTGGAGAGCTGTGTGACCAAATGTGTGGATGACCACAGGCACCTCATCCCGTCCACGACCAAGAAGATGAAGGAGTCTCTCTCATCCATCGCAAATAAATGTCTGTGCCAGTGGCCATTGGGGATCGGACAGGGATCTATATAAAAAAGAAGGAGGGGAATTTGGGTCTTTTAAGTGAATGTTATGAAAAGAAAAAAAAATGGATAGCAAGTTTAAGGAATATCACCTGGCTCTGGACACTGGCTCTTTTATCAGTTCTAGCTCACAGGAAGTAAATTGGGCAAAACTGGTGCTGTAATTTGGGTTGGAGGTCGAACGAGTGAGTGATGTGGAGCCTGAGTTGTATGTGGCAAGTGCTTATCTTCGTCTTGGGTCCATTCCTTGCTGTCCCAAGCCAGAGCCATCCCAGGGCACCCGAGTCTCATGAGTTGCAGTACCAGCGTGCTGGCACGTTCCTCCAACTTGTCGGTGATGATCTGGTGGAGTTTTAGAAGTATTTCTGTTTCTCGCCAACCTCCTGTTTACAAGAAGTATTGTCACCCCATTTCCCATAAGCTGTAAGACAAAGTGCATGAGAGCTATAGTTCAGAAGAGGAAAATGGAAATGTAAGTTTTTGTTTCGCTTGGTTTTGTTTTGTATACAAGTGCCCGACATTGATTCATATGTCAAGTTGGGAGACGGTGGTTTGGATAAGATCTTTGAAAGGCTTTTTGGCCTTCATCTGGCTCTCAAGATAGGCTGTTCTTGAAATTCGCACACGTGGAATCTTTCAGCACAGACTATGCAGAAACCTGAAAGAGTTAGAGTGTCCCTCTGGCTGTGGGAGGCAGAGCTTCCTTCCCACCGGCCGTCCTGGTGGCCCCAAAGCTGTGTGCAGTACAGTGACAGGACCATCTTCCCCTGGAAGCAGAGAGGGTCTGGACGGTGAAATATGTACCAGTAACTGGGAATTAACACTGAGAGGGAAACTGGTGGCTGCCGAAACAGGACATTCCTTACTTGTTCATTGAGTCTCCCAACTCAAGGTGACCTTTTTGTGTATGACAAAACAAATCTGCCAAGCCTGAGCAATTGCTGTGATTGCTGATGTGTGTGGACCCAGTACAGCAGTCTGTCTCACGGAGGGTTTCGTTTTGTTGGCCCCCTCCCAGACAGAATGCCTTTTCTTCACTGATGGCTCTTTCCGGGTGGCCTCTCCAGCTGCTTCTTTATCCCCTGTATTATCAGAATCCTGCTCAACCCTGGCAACAGGAAAGTCGAGGGAGGAAAAGCGAGTGACGGGGGTGAGGGAGACCTGTGACTCTTCTAGAGCCAAGGAGGGCTCCCCGCCCCCCTGCTGCCAAATACCACTTTCTGCCCAAAGCCTCTAGTGTGTGGTGGTCCTGCTTCAGTGACACCTTATTTCGATAGGGACATGTCACTTTTCTATCAACTTAATACCTGAAGTGATAATATAGCCTGTCCGTTTGCTGTTTCAAAGCTGTGATACATTTTCTTAAAATTAAAAGAGTTTTACTGGCCCCTCCCCCCCCAAAAAAAATTTTTTTTAAGACATCATGCTTTGAAAAGTGGGAGGGCATCAGAAATGAGGAAGACCCTCAAGGGAATGGATTGACAGTGGCTGAAACAATGGGCTCAAAAACATAGCAATTATATGGGTGACACAGGATGTTCCATTCTGTTGTATAGAAGCGCTATGAGTTGGATTACATACATGTAAACCAGAAAAAATGTATATGTATATATAAAATTAAGTTCAAACCAATTGTGAGAGACAGATAATTCATGAAATAATCATATTGGTATATGCAGCAAGAGTGTTTCTGGGCACACAGTAGCAGTGTTGCTGCCCTCACTGGGGTAGAAGTTAGAGCCAGTGAATCTCTTCACTTTTAGTACTTGAATTAATGAGAAAGATGGGAACAGAAGGGAAACATAAACAATGAATAAATCTTTAAATAAACTGAGTATTAGGAGATTAATAAATAAAAATACTTCATATTAAGTGGACAAAGATATAGCTGTCTTTCATTACCCAGACAGTATGGACTGAATTATATTGAACTGCCTTTAGTTGTAAACACCAGTTAAATTGTGGCGTTACAAAGAAGATACAGTATGAGAGAATAGTGCTAAGAAGAAAGGTTTGCTTTTGGTCATGCAGCATACTTTACTCAAACAAGTATTCCCAAACTGGAAACGAAATAAATCAATTGTTTTGTGGGAGCATTGGCCCAATCTGTATCTATTCCTTTTGACACACATCACATTCTTCATACCGAAAAAGAAAAACTCAATTTTAGGTATGAGCTAAGGAGGTGCTTGAATTGTTTATTTTAAATCATTAGTAATGGTTCTTTAATAGCTGTCAGAAGTAGTTTTAGAAATACCCTTTCGGGGAGTGGGGGAGCCAATAAAAACCCAAGGAGAAGGGAACAACAAGAGACCTAAAATCAATGGCAAGGAGGGTGTAGAATGCCTGGTGGGATTTGATCAAGTACAATGTAGCTGAGAGGAATTACTGAGAGCTGAATAGGGTTAAACATGATAATGGGACAGGAGGAAAGTAAAAGGAAATGGAGATGAGGAGGCAAGAGACATTTCTAGAGGTATAAATATAGGCATGTATATATGTAAATATATTGATAAATAATGATAGGAATATAGGTCTATGTATATATTTTTATATGTTAAGCATCAAGGTAGCAGACAGACATTGGGCTTCTACTGAAGTCCTCCCTCAATGCAAGAACACTTTGTTCTAATAACCTGGCATTCTGTGATGCTCACCTTACTAACACAGTCACTGAAGACAAAATAGGTGCATAAGCAAATGTGATGAAGAAAGCTGATGGTGCCTGACTATTAGAAGATACAGCATCTGACTTGAAGTTAAACAAGCTACCATCTAGCAGGGAAGCAACAAAGCCCACTTGGAAGAAGCACACCAACTCGTGATCACGAGGTGGAAGACCCAAAACAATCATATCGATGCGAACGAGGGGAGTCAGAGTGGAGACCCAAAGCCCATCTATAGACAATTGGACATCCCCTCACAGAAGGGTCACAAGGAAGGGACGAGCCAGTCAGGGTACAGTATAACACCAGTTAGGGTGCAGTATAACACTGGTGAAACACACAACATTCCTATAGTTCTTGAGTGCTTCCTCCTCTCTCCCACCCCCCAACTATCATGATCCCAGTTCTACCTTACAAATCTGGCTGGAGTGGAATATGTACATTGGTACAGGTAAGAGCTCTTGACACATGAAATCCAGGACATAAACCACTCAGGAATAGTAATGGGAGTAGTGATGCCATGAGGATAGGGTGAAGGTGGGGGAGGAAAGGGGAAAACGATCACAGTAAATCGACGTATCACACCCTCCCTCCCGAGGGGGACGGACATCAGAAACATGGGTGAAGGTAGATGGC